GTGAGCTCCTGAGGTGCTTGTCCTGTATCCCGGATTTTCCCACACACCTGGACAGGTACAGACACATTCCCTTGGCACAGGGGCACAATGTGATGTGCTGGCACAGCCTGGGGTCCAGAGGCTGTGCCCTGAGGAGTGTGACCAGGAGATGGTGTGGGGGCTCCTGTGAGGCCTGGGCATCTCAGGGGGAGTTTGGAAATGGCACTGGGGGATTGTTTGGGAATGGCACTGAGGGAATGTTTGGGAATGGGACTGAGGGATTGCTTGGGAATGGGACTGAGGGATATGTTTGGGAATGGTACTAAGGGATTGCTTGGGAATGGTACTGAGGGATTGTTTGGGAATGGGACTGAGGGATTGTTTGGGAATGGGACTGAGGGATATGTTTGGGAATGGGACTGAGGGATTGCTTGGGAAGGGGACTGAGGGATTGTTTGGGAATAGGACTGAGGGATTGCTTGGGAATGGGACTGAGGGATTGTTTGGGAATGGCACTGAGGGATTGCTTGGGAATGGGACTGAGGGATTGTTTGGGAATGGGACTGAGGGATTGTTTGGGAATGGCACTGAGGGATATATTTGGGAATGGCACTGAGGGATTGATTGGGAATGGCACTGAGGGATTGTTTGGGAATGGCACTGAGGGATTGTTTGGGAATGGCACTGAGGGAATGTTTGTGTCCCTGTGGGTGTCCGTGGGGAAGGGATTGGTGCTGGTGTGAGGCGTCCATCGGGAAGGGGTTTAGGTTCTGTTCTGGATGTCTGAGGAAGAACAGGTGTTGGTTTGGGGTCCATGAGGAAGGAACCATTACCCATGGGGCATCCTTGGGGAAGGAGGGAGTGCCAGTGCCGTGGTCTGTGGGCAAAGAGCGCAGGTCACTGCAGGGGAAGATGCAGGGCAGGTGACACTGGAGGTGACAGCGCGGAAAGAGGGGTGTCAGGGCACAAGGAGCAGTGTCTGTGGGAGTGCTGCCATGGAATGTGGGGTGACTATGGGGCTGTCTGTGGGAACAGGGGATCTTGGGGCTCTCACTGTGGAAGCAGGGCTCACCATGGAGGTGCTGGTGTGGAAGGAGGGGTGTCCATGGAGGAGCTTGAGTGTAAGGAGGGTTTGCATGGGAGAGTCGCTGGGGAGGAAGAGGCGTCTGTGTGGAAACTGGGGTGTCAGCAGTGGTATTGGGAGGGAAGCAGAGGTGTCGGTGGGGAAGCAGGGGTGTTGGTAGGGAAGCAGGGGTGTCGGTAGTGGTGCTGGGAGGGAAGCAGGGGTGTCGGTAGGGAAGCAGGGGTGTCGGTAGTGGTGTCGGTAGGGAAGCAGGGGTGTCGGTAGTGGTGTCGGTGGGGAAGCAGGGGTGTCGGCAGTGGTATTGGGAGGGAAGCAGGGGTGTCGGTGGTGGTGTCGGTGGGGAAGCAGGGGTGTCGGCAGTGGTATTGGGAGGGAAGCAGGGGTGTCGGCAGTGGTGTTACTGGCGGCCAGCGGGGTGTGTGCAGCCCCCGCCGCCCCCCCGCCGCCACTTTGCATAGGAGCACGGCTGTCCCCGGCCCCCGCCCTCCATATAAGCGGCCGGGGCGGCGGCGGCCGCACCGTCCCGGCCATGCTGCAGACCCCGGCGTGCCCCCGGCCCGGGCCGCCGCCCTCCAAGACCTCGTTCCACATCGAAGCGCTGCTGGCCCGGGAGCCGCCGCGCCGCGGCCCCGCCGCCCCCGTGAGCCCCGCGCCGCCGGCCCCGCGCTGGCCCGCGGCGGGACCCGCAGCCGGACCGGCCCCGGCCGCAGCAACGGGGCTGGGGCCGCTGCCCGCAGCGTGGGGCTGGCCCTGGCCCTGGCCCGGTGCAGGTGAGCGGGGTTCGTGGGCGGGAGCGGGGCCGGGGTGCGGAGCGGGGATGCCGCGCTCCGGGACGGGATGCGGGACAGGAGCGCCGGGCGGGGATGCCGCGCTCCGGGAAGGGATGCGGGACAGGAGCGCCGGGCGGGGATGCGGGACAGGAGCGCCGGGCGGGGATGCCGCGCTCCGGGAAGGGATGCGGGACAGGAGCGGCAGGCGGGGATGCCGCGCTCCGGGACGGGGTGCGGGACAGGAGCGCCGGGAGGGGATGCGGGACAGGAGCGGCAGGCGGGGATATGGGACAGGAGCGGCAGGCGGGGATATGGGACAGGAGAGGCAGGCGGGGCTGCCGTGCTCCGGGACGGGATGCGGGACAGGAGCGGCAGGCGGGGATGCGGGACAGGAGCGCAGAGCGGGGATGCCGCGCTCCGGGACGGGATGCGGGACCGGAGAGGCAGGCGGGGATGCGGGACAGGAGCGCAGGGCGGGGATGCCGCGCTCCGGGACGGGGTGCGGGACAGGAGCGCCGGGCGCTCGGTCGGCATCCGAGCGGGGAAATAACGGGGTGGGGTCACCCCAAAACACTTGGATCCCCGCTGCCGCTGTGGTTTCATCCCTGCAGCCTCTGGAGCGGCCTCGAGCTGAAGCGTTGGGCTGCGGGACAGGGACGAGGCAGAGGCAAAACTTTCCTTGGAGTTTTTTTTTTCCCTCTGTAGGTGATGGATATAGCGAGACCAAAAACGAACGGTTTATGCGGGGTTTTCTGTTTATTTGTTTATTTGTTTATTTTGCGAGGCAGTTTCTAACACACCTGATGTCTCTGAACAGTTTGACAAAGAAAGAGCCGGTGGTTGATTCCTAAAGATGCTGCAGGATTTTACTAATCCATAATTCAGACCCCAGCCCAGAACCTGGTGCAGATCCAAACCCACTGTTTGCATTTGAGATGGAGCCAGGAACTTGGAATAGGTTTAATAGTAAAGGGCAGAGCTAAAACCAGTATTGCAGTGCCTGGGCTAGTGGAAGGTGTCGGAGGAGGAACCAGATGATCTTTAAGGAGCTTTCCCAAAGCAGTCTGGGATTCCACGAGACTTTACGGGTGACTTTACACACATTGGCATTTATTTCTCCTTTCACATAGCAGGAAGGCACTTCACTGCCAGAGTTTTAATCAAAAACCTGCTGTAATTTCTCAAAGCCTCGCTCCCAAAATTAATTTCTTCACTTCTGCTGCTGTGTGAGTCCCTCTTCTCCCAAATTTGCCCTCATCCCTCTCTAATTTTGCTTTCCCTGCAATTTTTCACTCACAGAAGTGAAACTGCCAAGTGTTTTGCAGCACTTGGCCCTCAAAACTGCACGTTTTTAGTGCAGAATTATCTAAGGAAAATGGTTTTTGTTGATCTGGGGGTAAAATTTGCACCGTGGTGATGGATGATACTGCCTGATCTGTCAGGATCTATTTCACTGGAACTTTATAAGGACAACGACCAAGTGATTTTGACAAAGTATCTCAATTCAGAGTATTTTTCTTAAAGTATTCCTTTTTAGCATTCAGAGCGTGATCTTGCTGTTGTCCAGGCAAAACCTGCAGCCAGGTTTCCCTGTGTATAAAGAACTCCAGGTTTGATCCTGATGCTACAATATTCAGACACCAAAAGTATTTGCTGATCTCTTATTAAGTACTTAGCACAACTATTTAATATATTATTTCTTTCATGAGACAGCATCTACAGAATTGTGTTAATCTTTGTATTATATCAAACATCCAGTTATGAAAACACCGTTAAACAATTTGCAGAGAGATTTCCACTCAGCGTTTCATGTTGGAAATTACACTTGCTATTATTCCAGTGTTAAAATAGAAACAAAAAGTGATGGGTGAAAAGATTTTAATGATGAAAATAGTTTAAAGTGCAATTACGGCTGTTAAGCTGTCAGGTCTCCGTCCCACAAATCCTTAAACACACGCAGAACTTGCACCAAATTAATGAAAATAAGTAGGTCAAGGTGCAGGTTTGTGCCTGGAGAACGTGACAAGATCAGTCATTAAAGGAGAGATAAGTAGCAGGTGTGAATGGGGATCATTATGTGCAGTATTTCCATAAAAGCTGGAGAAACCTGGCTTGCCACAATATTTGGAACAGCAGAGATGGGGACCATTCATGTTCTGATCCTGCCAGTGCTGTTCGGTGCTTTCCACAGGGAAAACCCCTCTGGCTGTAATCAGGGGGTTATGTTAAAGTGAATCTGGGGCTGGAGAAGCCGTGGTGCTGTCAGTGCTGGCCTTCCGTGGCTCCTATGGCTCCTAAACCCCTCAGGCTGTGCTGGGAGCCCTGGAGGAGCTCTGCAGTGCAATCACCTGGGTCTGGAATCACGGTGACTGGGCTGGGAAGGGATTTTCAAGGACCTGCCCTGCAGTGAGCAGGGACATCAGCCGGAGCAGGGAGGATGAGGGGTGGGGAAGGCGAGACCTGCTCTCAGTCAGGTGCCAGTGGCAGTGCTGGTGTTGGATTGTATGTTAATTTATGCTAATTACGGCTATCCTCAGGCCACAGCTGGAGACCAGACAGGTCAGATACACTTGTTAGTCCTGCTAAATCATCAGCACTCCTAGGAACCTTATGGGGAGCAGAGGTGCAGGATGTGGTCCTGCATGAGAGCTGGATCCTGCACACTGAGCCCGTGTGACAAGGGAAGGGGAAAACCAGGGGCCAGTCTGGGGTCAACTCCCCCAAACTTTCAACATTTGGGTTTTGGGGGTTTTTGAGACAGAGGTGGGATTTTTGTGTTCTGCAGCTCTGTATGCATTTATTATCCTGTTACAAAGGTGCTGTGCAAGCGAAGGTCAAATCCTGCCCACCTCACTGAGTGCTGATTTCTTTGGGTCTGGCTGCATGTCCAGGACTGTCCTTGGTGTACCCTGAGGGTAAAACCATAGAACAGGCTCTCAAAAGTTCTTCTACCCCAGCTTTTCATGGGAAAAGGAGCCTGGATGAGAATATCTGGGTAGGGACAGGGCAGGGACATCCCTGCTGGGTTTGGTGCTACCTTCTCCCACTCCTTTAGTGCAGACCCCTTCAATTTTTGCTGCTTTCTTGCAGGTCTGGAGTTGTCTCACTGTGTTGGGACCACGCCACTGGGTCCTGCTGGGCCTTGGAGGTCGGGAGGGCCCTGCAAGATGAAGAGAGTGCGCACAGTCTTCAAGCCAGAGCAGCTGGAGCGGCTGGAGCAGGAGTTCCTCAAGCAGCAGTACATGGTGGGCACAGAGAGAGTGGACCTGGCTGCAACCCTGCATCTCACAGAGACCCAGGTAAGGGACGGGGGAGCTGAGCTGTGGCACTGATCCTGGGGTGCTCTGTGCTGACCTTCCCACTGGGAAGCGTGCGGGGAGGAGGACCCGGTGCAAGGTGACCTGTGGGACACCCTGCTGCCAGGTGACATTGGAGAGATGTGCCTGGAGCTTGGATGGTTCCTGGATAACATTTCTGAATCCATGAAGTGGAACAACGAGCATTCAGGAGCACAACCCTGCTGTGCTTTAGAGTTCAAGCTGGGTTGGTTGCTGTGTGTGCATTGTCACGATCCTCTGGAGACTGTTTCAAGTGTCCTTTTATGACACTGGATATATGTAATTATTTCCCTGCTCTGCCCTGTGAGTTCCTGCTCCTCCCACAGTAAGCTGCTTCTTTAGTGTGGAAAGAAGGAGCCAGGTGATCTTCCACAGTGGGATCTAAATTCAGCTGGGAAAAGGGGAGAGCAAAACAAGGCCAGTTCTGGGGGGACAATGGATAATTATCAGGGGTCTCATCATGCCCTGTGGCAACCGCAGTCCTGGGGATGGGTTCAGGGGCTCCTTAGGGAGCTGCTTCCTTCACTTCCCTGGCCAGAGCCTTCTCAGTGCAGCTGCTGTCCCCTGATCCTTTCCCATCACTGCTCTGCCCTCTGTAGTTTCACCTCCTCCTGTTCTCACTCACTATTCCCTTGAGGGAATAATGCACACCCCCAATTTAAGGCTCTCTGCTTTTTGGGGATACCCACCTCAGAAACACATGAACTCCTGGAGCCCTTGGATAAGTTGTTGTGCCATTCCCATCCAGGTCAAAGTGTGGTTCCAGAACCGGAGGATCAAGTGGAGGAAGCAGAGCATGGAGCAGAAGGCAGCAAAGCTGTCTCAGTTCGGGGTGATCCAGCCTGCGAGCGCCGACTCCACCGACAGCAAGGACCACGAGGAGGACCCCGTGGACGTGGAGCTTTGAACAGCCCAGGAGACTGGGCTGGTGTTTGGTGCCTGAGGACGTGTCTGGGCTGCTTTGGTCCAAGTGAGACTGATCTGAGAGCTGGAGCCACAGGACTAAACTGCAGCTGGCTGGAAGGAATCCCCGAATTTCTCTGGCTGCTGTTCAATAGCCAGGTGCTGTAATTCCTGGGGCTTCATCATCACTCGATGGCAGGTGATCTCCTGTTTGCTCATGAAGCACCAGGACACACAAACAGTTTCCAGCAGAGAGCCTGAGGTGACAATCAGGGTGTCTCTGGTGCTGGGGTGAGAATCAGTGACTGATACTGGGGTGACAATCAGAGGGTGACTCTGATGTTGGGGTGACAATATGCTGGTTTCTCTGGTGTGGGGATGACAATCAGAGGGTGACTCTGAAGCTGGGGTGACAATCAGAGGGTGATTCTGATGTTGGGGTGACAATCAGAGAGTCTATGATGCCGGGCAGGCAATGGGATGCTGTCTCTGATGGCTCTGAGCACACGGGCATTTCAAACCAGGTTCACTCATACTATATGTGGCCGTGTCCTCCAAGGGGGAAGAGGGAGAATCTCCCTGATCACTTCTTCCTCTCACTTGACTCCCATGTTTGATGTTCGGATCAATCACAACCACAGTACCCCAAACAGGGAAGCCCTTTGCTGCCACGCTCAGACTCCTGGATGCGAGGAGCAGGGCCTGCCCCTGCCCTGGAGCAGAAGTGCCTCCTGTGTCAGTGCCTTGCTGTACCTGTGCCTTTCCATGGCTCCCCATGGATGCAGCCCCAGCAGCGTGTGTCCCCAGCACTGCTGTCCTTGCCCAGGCTGTGTGTGTGTGTGCTGCTGCTGTAGGGAGCCAGCCCCGGGGCTGCCCGAGGTGCAGGGCTGGAGGCTGCAGTAAAAACCCAGCTCCAAGAGCTCAGCTGCTGCACCAGACACCCCCTGCCCCGCGGCCAGATGTGCCACTGTGGCCCAGACACAGGCAGCTGCTCTGTTCTCTCCTCATTATCCCTGCAGGTGCCCTGGGACACAGCACCTGGAGCGCTCCCAGCACATCTGGAGCAGCCCAATGTGGTTAACAGCTGGATTCTTGGGAGTAGAGGGCTTTGGGGGGCCAGGACTAAGGACTCAGGCTGTCACCTTGCCTTCCTACGGCAGTGACCACGGCCCATCAGCTCAGGATAATTTATTCTGTCTCTTTCTGACCTAGAACACTGTATATCACTTTACTCTTACATTGTTATTTATAGAAATACCTTTTTTTTTTGCCTTAATATGTGTCACTTATTTATTTGCTTTTTCTCTTGATAAAATAGAGTTAATTTTAAAAAGAGATGGAATGAGTGTAAAAACAAAAAACAGATGGAAAAATTTCCAAGTACTCACTTTAATTTTCAACTGAAATTAGTAACAAAAAAACAAAACAAAACAAAACAACCAAATATATTTTCATCTTTCTCAAAAGAGTTTGAGGGGTTTTTTCTTAATAAACTATTTTGGACAAAATATATATGAAAGATCTTTTTCTCAGTTGATTGATGACCCCATATCAAAGTAGATGAAGGGAGTTACTGTGTCTGGGCTGGTTCCTGCTGAGATAAAACTACATTTTCAGTAAGAGCAATCATGCCAGGTGAGTATGGGGTGCTCAGGCTCCTGGAGAACAAGAACCTGTGTCTGCAGGTGGATGTGGCCAAACCTTCCCTGTGGCTCCTGCTCTGCCAGCCTGAGGAGCATGGCCTGGGCAGGAACAGAGCTGGGAAGGGGCTGCAGAATCCCTGAGGGAGCCGGGCAGGGGCTGCAGAATCCCTGAGGGAGCTGGGCAGGGGCTGCAGAATCCCTGAGGGAGCTGGGCAGGGGCTGCAGAATCCCTGAGGGAGCTGGGCAGGGGCTCAGCCTGGAGCAAAGGAGGCTCAGGGGGCCCTTGTGGCTCTGCACAGCTCCTGCCAGGAGGGCACAGCCGGGGGGATTTGGGATCTTATCCCAGGGAACAGGGACAGGAGCAGAGGAATCCCAGGATCACTGAGGCTGGAAAATCCCTCCAAGGTCAGAGTCCAAGCTGTGCTTGATCCCCACCTTGTCCCCAGCCCAGAGCTCTGAGTGCCCTGTCCAGGCCTTCCTTGGACACCTCCCGGGATGGGGATTCCAAACCTCCCTGGGCAGCCCTTGCCAGTGCCCATTCCACCCCTTTCCATGAAGAAATCTTTGAGGGAACGGCCTCAGGTTGTGACAGGGGAGGTTTATATTGGATGTTGGAAAATTCATTCACAGGAAGGGATGTGCAGCCCTGGCACAGCTGCAGTGGTGGAAACCCCATCCCTGGAGGGATTTAACAGCCCTGTGGATGTGACACTTGGGGACATGGCTCAGCTGGGGCCTTGGCAATGCCAGGGAACATTGGTCTTAGAGGGTTTTTCCCACATAAATATTCCATGAATCGCTGAGGATGTAATGGTGAGTGACAGCAGCATTGCCTCACCTGTGCCTCGTCCTTGTGGTCCCTGCCATGGGCACAGTGTGATGGAGCACAGCCTGCACTGGCCCCACTGGCCTGGGATCCCACAGCACGGCCAGGGGACGTGGCCCTGGCAGCCTGTTTGTCCCCTGTCCCCTGGCCGGGTGGCCGGAGCAGTGGCCAGTCCTGAGGCCATGCCGTGGGTCAGTGACCAGTCCTGGGGCCATGCCGTGGGTCAGTGGCCAGTCCTGAGACCATGCTGCAGCTGCAGGCCAAGGCATGGAAGTGAGCTCCCGCCTTGTCACCCGCTGTCGTGTCCCCGCCACGAGCCGACAGTGACATCTAGTGACACCAAATCACTGCCCAAAACCGCGAACACGCAATCGTCCCGAATTCCCAACCCCGCTCCCGCCGCCTGGCCAGCGAGGAGCGGGGCTGAGCCGCGGCGCTGTAAATTAGTAAATACAACCAAACACGCGTTTCCTCGGGCTTTAAGGCTTTGCAGACCGCCAAGCAGGAGGTAGCCAGGGCAGAGTGGCCACAGTAGCGCGTTTTGAAGGCTTTTTTGGGGAAAGTCGGGCCAGTTTTGGGTGCGCAGGGCAGTGGGCGATGCCTCCTCTCTCCCCGAGGGGAGACTTCAAGGTGAGGGGGGATCTTGTGCCTGACAGGGCTGTGACGGCTATTCCTCTACCATTCAATAATATTAACTGACTAGGGAGAGTCAGCAAACTCCTGTACGATTTGGGGTGGCAGCGGCAGCGCCCCGGCCCCGTTTTGGGGTGTTTTGGCGCTGTTTTGGGCTGTTTTGGCGCTGTTTCCAGACGCTGGCCGGGGGCTGTGGAAGGGAGGGCCAAGATGGCCGCCGGCCCCGCGCCCCGCGGCTGAGGGGGGCGATGGCGAGCGCGGACCCCTGAGGGGCGCAGGGGGCGGAGGAGGAGGAGGAAGAGGAGGAGGAGGAGGAGGAAGAGGAAGAGGCGCTGCCCGGCGGGTCAGGGCGGGGAAGTCGCCGCCCGAAGATGGCGGCCGCGGCGGGGCCACACGCCGGGGCTGCGGCGGAGGCGCGGTTCATCAGCAGCGCCAAGGTGAGCAGCCCGCGGTGTGCCCTCCGTGAGGGTCCCTCCCTTCCTGCCCAGCCTGGGGGCACAGCGAGTAAAAGCCCGCGGGGATGGAGGGCATGGAGGGATTCCCTCAGCTCAGCTCCCCGGTATGACTCGGCTTCGGGCGCGTCCCTGACCCGCGGTTGTCCCTCGGCAGGGAAAGGGCTTGTTCGCCACCAGAAACATCCGCAAAGGGGAAACAGTCTTCGTGGAGAGGCCGGTGGTGTCATCCCAGTTTCTCTGGAATGCCCTGTACAACTACCGAGGTGACCGGCCGGCGCTGGTGGCGTGTCCCCATCCCTGTCTCCTGTCCCGGTGGGGTGACCGCGGGGCCGCAGGGGTACCAAGGGAAGGAAGGGTTTGGGTTTGTCTTGGCGCCTCTATAAACGCGGCCCTGCTGCCTTTTCTGCCTTTGCACTAAACTGTTGACAAGTTCGGGTGTCGTCTGAGGAATGGTGACTTCCATCAGCTCTGGAGGAATGTGCCAGGTGCCACCATAGAACCTTGGAATGGGTTGGGTTGGAAAGGGCCTTAAAGATCATATTCCATCCCTAGCATGCGTAGGGACACCTTGCCCTAACCCAGGTTGCTCCAAGCCCCATCCCTTTTTTCCTCTCTGGTGTTGGTACCAGTTGTGTTGCTTTGCCCTGGGTTCTGGTCCCTTTGCTTTCCGAAGGCTTTCCTGTGGCATCCATCCATCCATCCATCCATCCATCCATCCATCCATCCATCCATCCATCCATCCCTCCACCCACCCCTCCTGTCCCCCACAGCCTGTGATCACTGCCTGCGGGCGCTGGAGACAGCGGAGGAGAACGCCCAGCGCCTGCTGGGGAAGAGCTCCCTGGTGCTGCCTCACCCGGAGCAGTGCAGCATCAGGAAGGACCTGCACCAGCAGTGTCCCCGCTGCCAGGTACGGGGCTGCCGGGAGGTACCGTGCTCTCCTTGGCATCCTTGAGTCCTTCCCATCCAGCTGGGCTCTTGTGCTGTCTGCCTTTCTGTGCCGTGGGCCCAAGAGCCAGGGCTCTGCTGGTCAGGGAGGGGGCACAGCTGGCTCAGCTGGATCTGGGAGCCCCTTTCCCGCTGCCACAATGGCAGTGCTGTCCCCTCGCTGTAGGTGACGTACTGCAGTGCAGAGTGCAGGCAGGCAGCTCTGGAGCAGTACCACCAGGTCCTGTGCCTCGGCCCGTCCCGGGACGACCCCACGCACCCCCTCAACAAGCTGCAGGAGGCATGGAGGTAGGGCCTCACCTGCCTGTGCCTCCACGGGCAAGGGAGGTGGCTCTCCTGGGCTGGCTCCTCACTGTGCGTCCCTGCACAAGGTGGCTGGAGGGTGGGGGTGGCCCTGGGACTCTGCCCAGCTCTTTTTCCTGGTTGGGTGTTGTGATGTTGGCAGCCCAAGGGTTTGGACACACAGCTGAGCACTCCTTATCTTTCTCCCACTAAAGAG